GCTGGAGGCTCCGTGGGGAGCACTTTCCTCAGGGCGATGCAAGGATCAGACCTGCTGACTCAGGCCAGGAGCAGCATTTAAAAAAAAAAAAAATAATAATAAATACTAAACACTCCGAGAATGGAGCCTTTCTTCCAAACAGCGCATCATTAAACTGCAAGGCTCATTTGCCACCGGACGTTGTGAAGCCCCAAAAATATGAGCAGATTCCAAAAGGAGTTAGACAAATTCAGGAAAGGGAGGTTCACCCAGGTGGGTGATGAAACATGAGGGCTCGAACGCAGCCTCTGGCTCAGGAAGCCTCTAAACCGCTGACTGCCAGGAGAGAGCAGGAGATACCAGGAGACACATTGCTCGTCCCACTTCTTGGCTTCCCCAGATGTCCACGCCTGGCTGAAGAAACCTTTGGTTCGACCCCGTATGGCAGTAGTTTTGTTCTCAGCACCAAGACCTGTGAGATGCACTGCAGGACCTTGCTTCAGCTGCGGCCGATGCTGGGGAGGGGTCTGGAACACAAGTCATACGAGGAGCAGCTGAGGGAACTAGGATTGTTTAGTCTGGAGAAGAGGAGGCTGAGGGGAGACCTGATCGCCCTCTACAACTGCCTGAGAGGAGGCTGTAGGGAGGTGGGGGTCGGCCTCTTCTCCCTGGGAACAGATGATAGGATGAGGGGGAATGGTTTGAAGCTGTGCCAGGGCAGGTTTAGGCTAGACATTAGGAAAAACTTCTTCCCCAAAAGGGTTGTCAGGCTCTGGAATGGGCTGCCCAGGGAGGTGGTCGAGTCCCCATCCCTGGAGGTATTTAAAAGAAGGATGGATGAGGTGCTTAGGGACAGGGTTTAGTGGTGGGATGGCAGGGTTAGGTTAAAGGTTGGACTCTATGATCTCAAAGGTCTTTTCCAACCAAAGTGATTCTATGATTCTATGATTTACCCTGCCCGTGCTCTCCAACCCTTCGGACAACAGCAGGAACCGACCCGGCGGTGTCAAGCAGACGCCACGCACGCTTTGCGACACAGGGTGGGTGGATTCATCCAGCTGGAGCACCCTGCTCTTTCCTCAGAGAGGACTCACCCACCCCTGCCAGGGAACGCGGCTGACTTTGTAATGAATCGCCCCGTTTGTCTCCCTAACACCTCAGCCAGCCCTTTTGTTGAGCCTTTATCTCCCAAATTCAACAGCTCCGAAGCACACATCATGCAGCAGGACTTGGCCTCTTCCTTTCCCCTTCTCCACCAGCCGGTCTGGCGGATAAATCCTCCCGTCCCTCCCGAACACTGCTCGGTCTGTTCTCGGCAGATGCTGCAGTTACAGAGCTGCCCTTGCCCAGACCACAGAGATTGGCAGCCAGGGAAGAAAACTCCTTGTAGCCAAGGCAGCAGCTTCCCTCGCTGCCTGGAGATATCCCTGTGCGCACACACACACGCTCAAGTAGCACAGCAGCTAAGGAGAAAATAAAGGTTACTCTCCAGGCAACACAAATCTCAGAAGCTGGGGGGGGGTTTGAAATTGAACCTTTGAGGGAAGCACAGTGAATGCAAAGAGCTCCTCGAGTTTGTTGGGACAGAAAAACAACTGGAGAATGAGCTTCATCCTCCTTCCCCAGCCCCAGCCTTTATATTCAGGAACCAGAGGTCCCAGCTGGAAGGAGAGACTGGCTCCTAATCAACTTCTGGACAAACAACGACTTCTAGAAACAAGCATGCAGATTCAGGCAGAAAGGGGTTTTCACTTCACCCTCCCCTCAAAACATTCTACCCAGCCCCTATTTTATATCGCACGGAGGTCAGCTCATGGAGTATTTAGATGGTTGGGCGGTTTGACACATCATCTGATCTATTTTGGGAGCAGTTTACGGCTCTGCAATTCCTCCCCTGCACAACAGCGATAGCTTTTCCACTCTTAATGTCATATTATCCTCATGGCAGGTTTAAAAACTAAACAGGTGAAAAAACAAACTTTCTGGGCAGTGGAGCGAGCAGGATGCATGAGAGAGATTACGGCGATGGGATGGTACAAGTTTATCCTCATTCTGAGCCCCAGCAGAATGAACCGTGAACATAGAGGCTGGTTCCTTACAAAACTCCACAGGAGGATACTCAAAAGCTCTTGCATAAAGGTCACCCCATGACAAAAGGTGTCTCATGAATGTCCTTCTGAAGGAGCTTTGCAGTCCTGAGGTTTTACAAGGCTCAAATGAAGCTTCAATGGTCAGATCTCCAGCTAAGTAAACTAGCTCTGGCCAAGGTTTCAAACCCATCAGATAAGGATAAACCACCAGTGCAGGAGACTACGTTCTCACTGATGTATCCTAGAACAGGTTCCCATGAAGCCAACCAACATCACAAACCTTATTGTCATCAGCTCCAGATGCAAGGGCACTGCATGGTGTTTCCCTCCCTGCCATCCATCGAATAACATTGCTCTGTTTCCCTTGCCCTCCCCCAGCACCCCAAAACGCCACTCTTTCACACCACAATTTATCCCAGCAAGAGGAAGAAAGGGAAAGAATAAACAATGTGAACATCTGCCATCGATGTCCCGATGCCCATTCACGACCATCAAGAAAGACCTAAGTCCCACAGCATTATAGGAACAGTGCAACCCTTCCTCAAAGGATTGAATCCACGGACAATTTTGTGGGAGGGAAGCAGATGCTGTAACAGTGGCTAATCAATCACAGGTGATGAATAAATTGATCTTGATAGCCAAGATGTCTTTGACAGACCTGTGCTGCTGGCAGGACCCTCACTTAACCTTTTGAAGGTGAATGGACCACAGAATAATGGCAAGGACCTCAGCCAGACCTACCTTTGCCAACAGTTCAGGTGAATACCCTCAGAACACCCCATGACTTCATCATATACAATATTTTTATGATACTACATAGTGTTTATATGAACAAAGAGTCATATTAACCAAAGTACCATAGCCCAGAGAGACCCAAAGCTTTACTCTGAGCGCTGCTTAGCAGATGGGACTGCCTATCATCCATTTCCAAAGCAATGCATTTGTGATCAGTAATTATAAAAAAAAAAAAAATCCTTTATGCATTGTATTAGAAAGGCATGTGGGGCACACTCAACCAACCAGTATTAAGGAAAGCATTTCCTTCCTGTATTGATCATCCATCCAACCAACTAAGTTGCATTAAAAAGGCAGGGGGGAGGACAACAAGCCAAGTGTTATACATAGCAAATTCTGATTAGATTATGAAACTTTAAGAAGATCTTAACAAGTGGACAGTGTGCATTTTACATAATTAGCTTGTTACTTATAAATGCCCTCCATAGTGCCAATGGCAGATTTTCACCACCTAAAATAGCCTAAAGCTGTTGGATTCAAGAACTCCTGCCATCCCAATTTAGATCAACTGAAATACAGAAACCACGAGGTGGTTTCGTTACACCAAGATTAAGAATTGAATCGGCTCTTGTGTGCCTGGATGTTGGAAGGGGTAAAAGATTATAGAGGGTAAAGACGTATTATGTCACACTTCACCTTGCCAGCCCAATCCTCACCAAATGTGAAGGCTGTTCCTCACAACATTTTGACATATTTCAGGTTACTTTGGGGGGCATAGAGCCTCACTTTAAGACTGGACATAAAGACACAGCATTGTGGGATTCCACAGTTGTATCCATATTCATTTAGCAGAGAACAGTTCCCCAGCTCCATGAAGCTGGGACTGTTTCACCTCGATTCCAAGAAGCTCAGAGCAGGCCTCGAGGTACAATCACTGCCTGTAAAACATGACCAAGTAGCTAACCAGATAAGGAAGCCATTTGGGTTTCAAGTTGCCCATGCTTGACAAGGAAGTCCCAAAAAATGCAGAGCTACATAATGTCATTCCTATGCCAGTCCCTACACTGCTCTTTCCCAGGGACTGCAGACATCTAAAGGAAGAACCATTTTCAATTTTAAGTAAAAAGTACAAGAAAACATGCTAGAAAGCATCTTGAGGAAAAATTGTCTCATGGGAAGAGGCTCCACGGGCTTAGAGTTATCCCAGCATGCAAACATCATCCAAGACACCATCAACCAATTTGTGCAAGTTCCCATTTGCTAAACCACCCACAAAACAGGCAGAGCAGAAGGACAGTCCTTAAGTCATTGGTTACTCAAAAATGCCTTGGAGGTAAGCTATGAGGTCTGTGGGTGCATACTGCATGATGCCTTATCTCCAATTACTGAATAGCATTAAGAGATATTAATGCTATTACCTGGACAAGCTGGGCCTGTGTGAACCCCATCAGGTTCAACAAGGCCAAGTGCAAGGTCCTGCACCTGGGTTGGGGTAACCCCCAGTATCAATACAGGCTTGGGGAAGAAAGGATCGAGAGCAGCCCTGCCCAGAGGGACTTGGGGGTACTGATGGATTAAAAGCTGGACACGAGCTGCATCAGGAGAAGCGTGGCCAGCAGGTCAAGGGAGATGATTCTGCTCTTGTGATACCTCACGTGGAGCCCTGCATCTAGCTCTGGAGCCCTCAGCACAAGAAGGACATGGACCTGTTGGAGCAGGGCCAGAGGAGGCCACAAAAATGATCCAAGGGCTGGAGCCCTTCTCCTATGAGGACAGGCTGAGACAGTTGGGGTTGTTCAGCCTGGAGAAGAAAGGGCTGCGGGCAGACCCGATTGCGGCCATTCAGGGCTTAAAGGGGGCCCATAAGAAAGATGGGGACAATCTTTTTAGTAGGGCCATCTGTGACAGGACAAGGGGTAATAGTTTTAAACTAAACCAGGGTAGGTTTAGGCTGGGTAGAAGGAAGAAATTCTTTACAATGAGGGTGGTGAAACCCTGGCAGGGGTTGCCCAGAGAGGGGGTGGAGGCCCCATCCCTGGGAACATTCCAGGCCAGGTTGGACGGGGCTGTGAGCAACCTGATGTGGTTCAAGGTCTCCCTGCTCCTGCAGGGGGGTTGGGCTGGGTGACCTCTGGGGGTCCCTTCCCACCCAAACCATTCTATGATTCTATGATATATAAAAATGTCATGGTGTACCACTGAGTATGCCATTTCAATTTGGCATACAATGGCCATTTCCAAGGACTGAAGGGGAAGATGGTGCCAGATTTGAACCTTTTCCTTTAGAAAGTTATGGCTGAATGAATGGCTTAAGGTTTCAGCTGACTGTGAGAAACTATAGTGAGGTTAGAAGGGCCAACTTAGAGGTGTCCCATTAATATATACAGTTGGGAAAAACCAACAGGGAAGAACAAAAACCAACCAGCACACTTTCTGCACTCAACTCCACAAGAACGACCCCAGTTGATACTCTGTCTTACAGAACAAATTGTTTATGCAGTCTGAAAATACATGATCTGTCTTCCACTCCAGGGCTGGATGATCAGTTTTTCCCAGATTCACAAAGGCATTTAGCTGCCATCTCATTTGAAATAGTTATGGATGATCTATATCCCTAAGCTCCTCTAGAATCCAGAATGCTTTAGAGTCCGCAGGTGAAACAGAGCCGAAGAAGAGATTTGAAAGTTTTGCACCTAAATTATTCTTTGTGAACTCCTCTGAGAACTAGAAGCAGAAAAAGTATAAGGAACAAAATTGTCATATACAAATGACTTGCAAATCAGCCACTCAAGGGCCAGGAAGCATCAACATAATTATGTGCATGCATTAGGAAATCAAGTCTATCTGAAAAGTTTACGTGACCACATTCTGCAAAGGAGCACTGCATGAGATTATTTTCCAAATTCCCATCTTGTCTTCATTCCCTCAGGACAACTAGATGGAAAGGAGGCAGGGACCACAGGAAGAGCAAACTGTGATCTTATGAGTATCATGTTGGAGAATGAAAACCCATTCTAGCAGGGCCACGATAGAAAGTGAAAAACAGCTTTTCCAGTTGTTCACAAGTCATTAGCACGCCTCGTTTTCCAGGTACTGAGTCTTTGGGTTTCCCTAGGGATGACAACTAAACACGGGGTGACCTATAATAATTGTAAGTACTCAGAAGTAATGAAAAGAAAGCTGACTTTCAGCATCAGAAGGGATGCTGCACCTAAGAGGACTCTTGGTAGCCTTCTCTTTGAGCTGTGTCTTGGACAGCATCTTAAAAACACCCATGAGGAACCAAATGTATTTTCCATCGAGTACAGAACCTGGATAATGTGTTCCAAATAAGACTTGGGGCCACGTGGTTAATGAAATGGTAAAAAGAAATATTTAGTAATTGCCCATTCACTGAAATAGTCAAGGATTTTGCAGAACAAAACTTGCATGCAATCACGAAACAAAATTCCATTGCAGTGTGCATGCACAAAGGAGACGATTTAGGTTACTTACACAGCTCACCTCTGAAGTTTCCCAAATTAAACTGCGAAGCCTTACAGTAGCAGTAATTATGTATTAAAAGGTATCCCCAGACACTTTGGGTGCTGGCATTAAAATCCAGCACCCAAAGAGTTGTGGTGAATGGAGCTAAATCCAGTTGGCGGCCGGTCACAAGTGGTGTCCCCCAGGGCTCAGTTCTAGGGCCAGTCTTGTTTAATATCTTTATCAATGACCTGGATGAGGGGATTGAGTGTGCCCTCAGTAAATTTGCAGATGACACCAAACTGGGTGGTAGTGTTGATCTGCTTGAGGGGAGGAGGGCTCTGCAGAGAGACCTGGACAGGCTGGATCGATGGGCCCAGGCCAACTGCATGAGGTTCAACAAGGCCAAGTGCCGGGTCCTGCACTTGGGTCACAACAACCCCATGCAGCGCTACAGGCTTGGGGAA